CACTCTTCATTATTTACCACTTCTCCAACTTTTGTGTCATCTGCAAACTTTATCAGTGATAAATTTATGTTTTGTTCCAGGTCATTGATAAAAATTTTAAATGGTGTAGGGCCAAGAACCAATCCCTGCAGGACCCACTAGAAACAGACCTGCTTGATGATGATTCCCTGTTTACAATTTTATTTTGATACCTATCAGCCAGTTTTTAATCCATTTAATGTGTGCCATGTTAATTTAATAACATTCTAGTTTTTTAATCAAAATGTTGTGCGGTACCAAGTCAAACGCCTTACAGAAGTCTAAGTATATTACATCAACACTATTACCTTTATCAGCCAAATCTGTAATCTCAATAAAGATAGGTATCAAGTTAGTTTGACAGGATCTATTTTCCATAAATCCATGTTGATTAGCATTAATTGTATTACCATCCTTTAATTCTGTATTAATCAAATCTTGTGTCAGCTGTTCCACTATCTTTCCTGCAATCAGTGTCAGACTGACAGTCCTATAATTGCCTGGGTCATCCCAGTAACCCTTTTTAAATATGACAGCCTTGGTCAGGGAACATCACAGATTTTTCCCTTCCTACTCCAACTCATTCCCCAAAGGCCTGCACCTGTTCCTGGTGCATTTCCTCTGCTGGGCTAGAATTTCCCCCCATCTCCCTTCTTCTGTTGACACAGAAGTAATCAGATTGCACAATAAATCTTGGGCCTTGTAGTTAATGGCTCAACCAAATGGTTTCCAATTCCCTTTCTGCAAAGTCACCAGTATAAGCTATCCACTGAAGATAAAGATGCCTCTCAACGAACTCATTTGCTAGAATAGCAACAGAAAGCAAACACAAATGCGGCTGGGTAGGGGGAAGAGGGGAATACAAATGAAGTGAGTTAAAGCCTGTATTTCATAAAACAGTGCCGTATGCAGTATGAATTACTTTATAAAGATTGACTAATCCAAAACACCAAGAGAGTTGTTCTGTTTTTAAATGTGCAGTAAAACCTTGCTGATCTTCATACTATCAAATTCACACCAAAAATTAGTAGTCTCTCCCAAATGCCCAGCAAAAATGCAATAGCAAAGCCTTGTACTGAATTGATTAGTTTAAAAATTAATTACCAGTAATTCATTATTTTATAAATTAATGGCCAGTAAATTTATTAATGGGCTATGAAGTATAATAAACAATAGGAATTTATCTAGAGTTGTCAAATTCAATGATCAAGGTGCATTTTGTGAGCCATGAGCCTTGTTTTTTATTGTGTGTGCACTTGCTGACTGATTTGCAAAGTCCAGTCATTGGCATTGGTTCATTAATGTGAATTTTTGGGATTCTCCCACCTAGATGTGAGTTTTCTCTCTGCTTTTTGATAGAGTTCCTCTGTGACAGCTGAATTCACAGCTAGTGATGTTCAGTAATTTTGTTTTGGTGCACTCTGGTTTCAGAAATTTGTTTCCAATCCATTTAAATTTTCCTGATTGTCTGTCTCTTGGAGTAGTTTGGCAGAATGTAAATAGAAGTGCTATTTGAAGTATCCTGTAATATAAAGATAGCTACTTTTACAGCCACAAAAATGGAACAAGAGCTCAGCCCTGAATATATACCTATTCTAGAGGCCTGATTCATCCCTGCTACTGGAGGCAAACCGTGCCTGTCTTAACAAGCAGGGGACTCTGTGCCCAGGCAGGTTTTGCACTGCTGCTTACTGAGAGGTTCTGCCAGGCAGCTGGGTAGCTTTAAGTTGAAATTCAGGCTATATAGGAAACTCTCTGAATGAAGAAAAGGAGGACTTGTGGCACCTTAGAGACTTAACAAATTTATTTGAGCATAAGCTTTCGTGAGCTACAGCCCACTTCATCGGATGCCTACCGTGGAAAATACATTGGGGAGATTTATATACACAGAGAACATGAAACAATGGGTGTTACCATACAAACTGTGACGAGAGTGATCAGGTAAGATGAGCTATTACTAGCAGGAGAGCGGAGGATGGGGGGGAACCTTTTGTATTGATGATCAAGGTGGGCCATTTCCAGCAGTTGACAAGGAACAGTGTGGGGAGGGGGGGTGGAATAAACATGGCAAAATAGTTTTACTTTGTGTAATGACCCATCCACTCCGTCTTTATTCAAATTAATTAATTGTATCCAGTTTGCAAATTAATTCCAATTCAGCAGTCTCTCGGAGTCTGTTTTTGAAGTTTTTTTTGTTGAAGAATTGAAACTTTTAGGTCTGTAATCGAGTGCCCAAAGAGACTGAAGTGTTCTTCGGCTGGTTTTTGAATGTTATAATTCTTGACGTCTGATTTGTGTCCATTTATTCTTTTACGTAGAGACTGTCCGATTTGGCCAATGTACATGGCAGAGAGGCATTGCTGGCACATGATGGCATATATGACATTGGTAGATGTGCAGGTGAATGAGCCTCTGATAGTGTGGCTGATGTGATTAGGCCCTATGATGGTGTCCCCTGAATAGATTCATTCTCTGAATGAAGTTGCCTGGGATTCTGCTGAGAATCAGTTATCCTCACTCTCCCTGCTACAGCAGGCTTTTCCCACTTTTGGGAAGATCAAGCACACAGTAGGCCCCTTAGCTAGCTGTCACAACCCCCTGCCCTGGTAGACTTACCATCCCCTGTGGACCCTTGTGCTACAGATCATTCTAGGGCTGAATCTAGCCCCACATTTTCAAAGTTTTTTTTTATCTTAAAGCAGGTGGTTACTTGGTTGGTTGGTGGGTCTGTTCTGTAACCTAACCAGTCTTTTAAGCTAATGGCCAAGTGATGATAAAGTGAAAATAGTGTGTGTGTGTGTTGACTTAATAGAATTAAGCACAAGTAACTAAAATAAAATAAAAACTGTCCCACTCAATTTTAGCTTTGAAATTAAAGAGTGCTTCCAGGTATCCTGTTACTCAGCTGAGAGTGCTGCTTATTTTACCTGCCCTACTTTTGTTTCTTTAGGCCTCAATCCAGAAAAGCACTTAGGCACATGAGTAGTTGAAATCACTGGGGTAACAGAGAGAGAGAGGTTCACAACATCTTTCATGCAAACCCATTTTCATTTCAGTATTTTTCCCTTTGATTTGGGCTGATTTGCTAAAAGTAGTCAACTTTAGTATACAGTAGGTGATTGACACAAACTTTCAGATCTGGTTCTTTTCTGATTCTCTGCTTGAGTAGTTTTGTTGCCATCTTCTAGTGTCCTGTGGACTAGGACTGGAATGCCCAGTTGAAAAGGGACCCTGGTGGCTCCAGTCAGCACCACCGACCCGGCCGTTAAAAGTCCGGTTGATAGTGCTGCGGGTTTAACGCAGGCCAGCTCCTACCTGTCATGGCACTGCACTGTGCCCTGGGAGCAGCCAGCAGGTTGGCTCCTAGGTGGGGGGGCACCAGCTCCGCACTCCCATTGGTCGGGAACTGCTGCCAGTGGGAGCTGGGGGAGGGGGGCAGTGCCTGCAGGTGAGAGCAGCACACAGAGCCTCCTGGCCCTCCCCGCCTAGGAGCCAGACCTGCTGGCCACTTCCAGGAGGCAGTGCAGAGTCAGGACAGGCAGGGAGCCTGCTTTAGCCCTGCTGCGCCACTGACCGGGAGCCACCCGAGGCAAACCCATGCCCTTGCCCCAGCCCTGAGCCCCCCAAAACATGGAGCCCCTTCTTGCACCCCAAACCTCTCATCCCCAGCCCTATCCCAGAGCCTACATCCCCAACCGGAGCCCTCACCCCCTCCTGCATCCCAACCCCCTGCCCCAGCTCCGTGAAAGTGAGTGGGGGTGGGGAAGAGCAAGCCATTGAGAGAGGGGGAATGTAGTAAGCGGGGGGGTGGGGGGCGGGCAAGGCCTCGGAGAAGGGGCGGGGAGGGCATTGAGGAAGGAGCATGACTGGGGTGTTCAGTTTTGTGCGATTGGAAAGTTGGCAACCCTAGGACTAGGTGTTGGATCATATTAAAGAAGTTCTGTATTAAAATCACAAATGAGTTTCATTCCCCATAGTTTAAATTCCAGGGTATTACTAATTATGAGGTCTCTTGGTTTTTGGTCTCTTGTTTTTACTATTTCTCTCCCTCTGTGTGTGAAACTTGCAAGCTGCTAATTGTGTTAGTACATCCTAAGACAGAGTCTGTTCTCAAAGCAATACTTTGTAACAACTACTACTCACAGAGAGAGAGAGAGAGAGAGAGACTCAAAGTGATACTTTGTAACAACAGAAACAGCACACTGAGACTCCCCGCCCTTTTGTTGTATTTATCTCGCTTTGTTAACAATTGTGATTAAAATAGAGATAGAGGATGTATGTGGATGTATGCTTGGTGTGGATAATAAATCAATGATCAGGGAGGTGCCAGCCTAGGAGTTCAGTATTGATCGGCCAAAGAATGCGCAGAATGGAGACAACCAGATGACCCACCGAGGGCAGACTGGAATCCACCCAGCAGCCTCAAGGATGCGAGAACCAAAGAACAAGATAACATCTGGCAGCATGGAGCGGTCAGGAATTTGCAATCTGCTGATTGATTCAGCAACAGCATGATGAAGCAATTCCCATAGACTGGCATAGGAATACATTCCTATAAAGATGGTCTCTAGAAACTGAGAACTTTGGGGTCTGAGTCTGCAAACCAACTTCCAGGAGCATCAGATGAGCATCTGATAAGGCCCTGCTCCCTCCTCGTGTCCAGGCCACCTGGCCAGTGGCTTGGCACGAGCAACTCTAAGGCTGGTAACTATGATAACAACCTTGCAGAACCTGTGTGTGTGTGTGTGTGTGTATGAATGAATGTGTGAATAAATATGAAATTGAATGGAATATTATAGCTATAACTAACTACTTATTATGATTCTTTCTGTATTCAGAAAGATAAATGTGGCATTTTGCCTTTTCCCCTTTAATAAGATCCTGCTGGTTTTTATTTTATTGGTATAACATAGACCTATCATGAAACTGCTGAAAGAGTCATTTACTGAGATGTTTTCTGCCTTCCTTTCAATGTGTTTCAGAAAATCTTCGGAAGAACTGGACATGGATAAAGTGACAGCAGCTATGGTACTAACCAGTTTATCCACCAGCCCTTTGGTTCACAGCCCTCCTGTACGGCCCAATGGTAAACATACAACATAATACTCTGGGGGATTGTAAGAAGTGGTAGTAATACATTATACTGAGAATCTGAAAGTTACTTTTGGCAGGCACATAACACACCTGAATAAATATGGTAGGGATAACGTATCCTTACCTGCCCCAGTAGTAGTAATTCAACTGGAAAAGAAAAATAGCTGCCCAATTGTCCTGTTGTACCCATTGTAATTATCCACTAGTGGAGCTAGAGGCAAGCTTGAGGACTAGTGAGAGCATTCAGGTAAGTAAGGAGGAGCAGAATCCACCTCTGGAGGGGACTGTGATTTACTCTATGTTTATACTGTGCCTAGGACAGTTGGGCCTTGACCTATTAGAGGTCTCTAGGTACTGTTGGAGAAAAGCCCATAAATGAGAATATGGCTTCTGAGTGGCAGTGGAGCTGCTCTGTCATCTGTAGCCCTAGCTCACCCCTTGCATGGGAGGAAAGACCAGAGGAGGATCATTACAGTGGTGGATCTTCTGACCGCCCTGAAACGTTAGTTCTCCAGAGTATCAGATTATTTTATACATACATATGAAGTCAATATGGCAGTGATTTTCAGCCTTTTCCATACTATCCCCACCCACCCACATCCTCCCTAGTCAGGATATAGCCAGGACCTATTCCCATTTAGCAATATGAGAAGGCAGGGTAATTGTGACCCCCTCCCCCCCCCCATTACCTCCAGGAGATCTGATTGCAACTTCAAGGCTGAAAAGCCATGCAGGAGGATTCTGCATAAGTACAGGTCCCCCCCATGTAGTTCTAGTTGCAGAATCGGGGACTTCATTCCCATCCTGTGCATCTGTTTCCAGGATCATTTCTCTCAGACAACATGCAACCAAGCTCATGAATCTCATAAGTAGGGCCCTACCAAATTCATAGTCGATTTGGGTCAATTTCATGGTCAGAGGAGTTTAAAAATCATAAATTTCATGATTTCAGACATTTAAATCTGAAATTTCATGGTGTTGTAATTGTACAGTCCTGACCCAAAAAGGAGATGGGGGGGGCACAAAGTTATTGTAGGGAGGGTTGCAGTACTGCTACCCTTATTTCTACGCTGTTGCTGGTAGTAGTGCTGCCTTGAGAGCTGGGAGGCCAGAGAGCGGCAGCTGCTGGCCAGGAGCCCAGTTCTGAAGGCAGAGCCACCGCCAGCAGCAACACAGAAGTAAGGATGGCCTGGTATGATATTGCCACCCTTACTTCAGCACTGCTGCCTGCAGAGCTGGGTACCCAGCCAGCTGCTGCCCCTCTCCAGCCACCCAGCTCTGAAGGCAGCACAGAAGTAAGGGTGGCAATACCATGACTCTCCTAAAATACCCTTGCAACCCCCTGAAAATCCCTTTTGGGTCAGGACCGCCAATTTGAGAAATGCTGGTCACCACCGTGAAATCTGTATGGTATAGGGTAAAAGCACACAAAAGACCAGATTTCACATGGGGAGACCAGATTTCACAGTCCGTGACAGGTTTTTCATGGCTGTGAATTTGGTAGGGCCCTTCCAATAAGACAGTTGATTACATGAACACAAGTATGAAACAATTCATAAATCTGATAAGCAATTAGTGTTTTCAACATCTGATAATGAAATTGATAAGAAAATGTCATTGATAGTTTGAGGGGGCTTGTAAGGGTTTAAAAATTTATAATATTATGTGGCAGAGATCCTAACACTGTGATGCACTTGTTGGAGGTCCATGGAGACCTAGCCTGTCCTGTGTGCTGGCTCTTCCTCCTCACTTCCAGCTGCTGACTATATACTAAACACTCTCCTACTGTAAACAATTGCAGTAGTCGCAGCAGGGATATTAACGGGCCATGATTCCATGGATGAGGCGGGAGTGAGCTGGGAATAGAAGCACTCTTTCTATTAAGATGAAGTCCACGCTTAGAAAATGTTTGAGAAACCCTTGCTTTTGAGGTTTCATAAGAATAGCTAATTCTTCATCTTTCTTAAAAATGTTAATTTCCTTCACTCCGTATAACATGCCCACTGCCTGGGAATCTGTGTATCTAAGGTACTTAGATAGCCCCCTCCCACCCTAGCATCTGAACACCTTCTAACAATTTAAAAGCACAAATAACAACAAGAGAGCATCTGTGCATGCTCTTGTCAAAGTCAGATTCAGGACTCACATAATTTGTTAGACCACTCTGTTTATTAGCAAAGCGCTTTGCTAATGCACCCAGATGTGAGCCCCTCTCTGAGGCTCAAGATAACTTATTTATACAGTTTTGCCAAAGCCAATTTAACATAAGAGACAAAAGAAAGCAGAAACTGACAAATATACATACATATCTTATTTGCATACTAACGTTTACCAATCTCCTAGCTCAGTAGGAGCTCTTAAGTTAATTAGTTTGAGGACCCATTGTCTCACACTGACGAAGTGAGCTGTAGCTCACGAAAGCTCATGCTCAAATAAATTGGTTAGTCTCTAAGGTGCTACAAGTACTCCTTTTCTTTTTGCGAATACAGACTAACACGGCTGTTCCTCTGAAACACTCCTTAATGTTTCTCTTCCTGACAACTATATTTCAACAAACCCTTCAAGTAGCATTTCTTTATGAATTATAATTTCAATATAATTCATTCTACTTTCACACTCTCTGATAGCTTTTGATTGATCATAGAATCATAGAATCATAGAATATAAGGGTTGGAAGGGACCCCAAAAGGTCATCTAGTCCAACCCCCTGCTCGAAGCAGGACCAAATCCCAGTTAAATCAGCTCTCCCAGTTGATAAGTTCTACTAAATTGTTGTTAATATGTACAAGGTCATGGATAACTGAGTTTGATATTCATTCTGATGCAGTTTTGAGTGCTCTGTGATAGTTCTACATATACTGTTTGAATATTTGCTAAATGCTGCAAAGATAAAATTAAAAGTTTTAAACATTATTAAACATTTGCAAGATTGGTGGGCCAAATTCTGAAGTCCTTACTCAGGCAAAATTTATCACTGCTTGAATGAGAGTTTTGCCTGAGTGAGTCCTTAGAAAAGAGTAAGGATTTAATAATTTAAATCTGTTTTAGTATTGCTGGAATATATTAACATTATTTTGACATCAGTAATGTAATTTAGTAGTGATTGATTGTACATGGGCTTTTTTTTTCCAAAATAGGAAGCAACTAGCACTGTAAGAAGAAAAGGAGTACTTGTGGCACCTTAGAGGCTAACAAATTTATTTGAGCATAAGCTTTTGTGAGCTACAGCTCACTTCATTGGATTCATCAGAAGTGAGCTGTAGCTCACGAAAGCTTATGCTCAAATAAATTTGTTAGTCTCTAAGGTGCCACAAGTACTCCTTTTCTTTTTGCAGATACAGACTAACACGGCTGCTACTCTGAAACCTAGCACTGTAAGGAAATTTGTTACATTTTGCTTGGCAGGTTAACAACATTAGTTTTAGCATTCATATTTAGGTTGGATTCTGCTCTACAGTAGAGTTGCTCTGGATTTATCTGTGTGTAAACTAGATCAGAATATGGCCCCTTTTTTCCACAAATCAGTAATATTGGGTCTGATGCTCATTTACAGGTAGCCCCCCCCCCTTTATACTGCTTTGGCAATGTTAAGGGGCCATAAAATGGAAGTAAATTACAATTATACTTATTTTAAGCCTCCTTTACGCTGCCAAATGTGTTAGTGTAAATGCAAATCAGGTCCACTTTGTGTTTGTTTTCTTCTTGTCAACCTCATTTAGTCGTTTTCTTTTGTATTTGTATTTCAAAAATGTTTTTGATTAAATCTCCATCTCACTGAGGCAAAGGGAAGCTGTAAAACCAGAGAACACAAAGCACTGCCATAAATGTGTCAGAAAATTACATTTGAAAGCATGTTTCCTTCTTTGTTTTTCTGAACAAACAGCATTTTTAAATGGTGCTAAGTTCACAAGTTGATACCAGGTGTGCTGCTTAGCTTGGTCATGGGACTGAAGTGCAACTCATTCAAAAAACAGAAAAAAGGAGAAACACACAAGAATTCCAAAGTGCTGTAATCACAAACTGAAACAGTTTTGCATTATGTACTAATGTATTGTTTTGTGCTTTGTCAGCGATGAGCTAATTATTTGTACATTTTCAAAAGGAATTGTGGAACTCACTAACTTGCCCACATTTTGCACTCTGACCCCGATCCTGCAAACACTTAAGCACATAAGTGAGTATAATTATACATGAGCTTAATGTTTGCAGGATTGGGCCCTGTGTTGTGAGCAATGGATATTTTTAATAATTTCTCATGCTTTAGAGCCTGATCCAAAATCCGTGGAAGTCAGTGAAAGATTTCTATTGACTTCAGTAGGTTTTGGATGAGGCTTTTGGTAACGAGTGAAGGAAATGATTCTTGTGCCTGTACTACCACTGAGAATGAGACTTGTGTGTGAAAAAGTGAGGAAGAGTTTGTGAGGGACAGGAAACTGCAGGTACTGTCAGCTTTGGAAAAATTCCAGTCTCACATTTAATACTGAATTTTATTATTTACTTGCTAAGCACCAGCAGAGTGCTTGGCACTGTATGAGTGTGGGGGGGGAGGGGGTCCCCGGGAGGGGGTCCCCTGCTCCAGGGCAGGTATTTCTAAATAAATAAATAAAGATCTGATACATAAACACACTGGCAGACCATGAGGTTGATGTTGGAGCAGTTTCGATTGTTTGGTGTTTTAACAGTAGGCTGATGACAGCATTTTTACAGATATGGGTTAGTGTTTTGGGGCTGTGTAAGAATCTTCTCGGGATGGGGGGTGTCTGAAATTACAAACCATGGATTTAGGCATACTCAGAAGTTTAAGATTGGGGAATGTGTATAGCACATTTAGGGTTTCTGCCAGTCAAAGGGAGGGGATTTGATTTTTTAATCTAATTTATTTTATCTATCAATTTGGGCCCTATTCAGGGAAAACATTCCTATGCATGATTGTAGTGAAACATATGCTTAAGTCGCACTGAAGTCAGTATGTCCTAGGAATGCTCAAAATTAAGCATGTGCTTCAATGCTTTCCTGAATCAAGCACTCATCAATCTGACTGCTCCAGATATAGTTATATTCCAGAATAGTTTTTTGTCTCCCCGCTTCAGCTTTTTCTTTTCTAGAAAGGTGGTGTCAAGGCTGATTCCCCACTCTGGCACTTAGAGTGCAAAAGGTGGGGGCCCGCAAGGATTTTAAAAATTAATACTGGCCACTCCAGGCTGGTATTAAACTCCCAAGGTCACAACTTCTCTCTGTCCTTGGATGGGTAGATGCTGCCACCACCCAAGTGCAAAGCCCTCCCCCCTTTCTAGAACCCAGGAAGGAAGACTTGGGGAATTCCTTCCTGTGGGGGTACCCTCAAGCCCTTTCACCCCCCCTTCCCGGGAAGAGCTGAGCAAAAAAAAAAAAGGAAATTAGCTGTTGTCACCAGTCAATTAAACAACATATGCACAAACCTTTTAGGGACACAAAAATCCAGTCCTGCCACCAAGAGGGACTTTATAGCTAACTGGCTGGCTGGCTTAGCTAACCCCCCCCCCCATTTCATTTATCACAGGTGGGTTTTTTACTGAAACAAATTTTAGTAAGATCAGTCTGTCCTCTTTGCAAATCTGGCTTTTCTCTGCCTAAGGTAAACATGGTAACTGAGCACCAGATAAAAGCAAACGGATCTCCTTAGCTTTAACTCATGACATCTGTTAACTCCTGTTGTTGCTGTTCTTACAGAATCCTTGAACGGATCTTGGAAAGAAGGAGGATTTGTGCCTTCTAGTACCAGCAGTAGTGGATACTGGAGCTGGAGTGCACCCAGTGATCAGTCCAATCCATCCACCCCATCTCCGCCTCTGTCTGCTGACAGCTTCAAACCCTTTCGAATGCCCTCTCAGCCTGATGATAGTATTGATGAAGCCGAAACCAGCAATCTCCTTTTTGATGAGCCCATCCCTAGGAAGAGAAAGGTTCGCCTCCTGTGCAGCTCCACAGTGCTACTCATCCGGGATCCTGTTCTGTTGGGGAGGGGGAGGAAGAAACCCACAAAAGATCACACAAGCAACTTTGCAGGGAGTTTCAGAGGCTACACAGATACTCTCCATAGCCCCGTGTATGTGCTAGCCCATGCAGCATGTCCCCCTTAACTCCACCCCTCTGGCTAGTACACATGCTGCTATCAGCACCAAGTGTTTGCTAGCAGATGTTGGGGACACACATAGCTCCTGCCCAGAGAAGCAGCAAGATGCTCCCTGAAGAGACCCCTGGCCACGCAGGGGATTTCTGCCCTGCTTTGGCAAATTCCTTTGGGATAGGCTGTAACAGGCAGCCTCTCCCTTTTCCCTTTTTGCCATCACAAGGCAGGATTTGGCCCTGTATTTCTAGTTCACTGAAAATGTTGGTAGCTTATCGGATGCCCTAATAAGGTGAAGCACTCAGAACAAACATGAGGGGCGGGAGGGGAGACAAACTGAATCTGTATAGTGTCATCAGGCCAAATTTATCCCTAGGGAAACTTCACTGAAATCAACCTCACTCCGCCAAGGAAGGATCCGTGTGGCCACTCACAACTAAATAAATGAAACTAAACCAAATGCTTTAATTTGGTATGTAACTCCCCTTCCCCCATCACTATGCCAGCAAGCAAAGTGCCTCTCTTGAAGAAGAAAACAAAGAGATGGCATTAGTCCAAGCTTTCTTCACTCCTAACACAGCAGGATAGATTTTACATAGCAAGATGAAAAAGAGCTTTGTGTGAGAAAGAGGAAAACAAGGTATTTATCCTTTCTTGGTGACTTCTTCTCTTGATCAGATCGAGAGCAATAATTGCCGCACTGCTGGCAGGATGAAGTTTTAATGATTGTTTTTAAACCCGATCAGATTTTATCTTTTTGCTACAGGAGTTGCTCATTTGGTGTCCCACAATCACGCTTGCCTTTGTTGGGACATCTTTTGCGAGGGTGATATAAAATACTGTTCCCTGTTGCTAAATAAAAAAACAGTATGGAGAACACATTTGCTATGATAAATTAAAAGTTAGTTATTAAAATAAATCCAGAGATAACTCTGGGGGTTGTGGGAGGACAGAGAGAGAAAAAGAAATGCTGTGATTTTTTTATTACCCAGTTAAAGCTGTGTTTGTCATTGTTCTGATTGTTCAGCAATGATTAGGCAGATGTTTTTACAACTGCCATTCTTACTGTTTTATTATTCATATTTTACATACCCTCCACAAACATTTTATACTTGATGGTCTGTTTTGGTGTTTTCAGTTTTTGGCTTGTACAACAAACATCAAATTTGTATAAGGAATGAATGATATTACATGGGGTTCACCTGTAGCAAATTCACTTTCTCCTATGTTTTCATTCTGACCCTGACTAGTAATTGTCTGATTGTGACTTTGCACTTTGGAGAAAAATATTTATGATCTAATTACTGGTTTGTTAGCGCTGTCAGTCCACAAAGTGTAAATGTGAAAATACAGCGATTGATAACTTCACCAATTAGGAGTAACAGAATGCCTTATCAGTTAGTGTCAAATTACTTCTGTTTCATGGAGTCACATCTTGGACAATGTCATCTACTCCGCTTCCACCCCTCAAGAAAGTTGAATGTTTACATTTTGCCATAAATTCAACCCATTCCCCACCAAATCACTTACTTATTTCTGAGTGGGAGGAGTTAAAAGCACTAAAGAATGATCAGGCAATTGCTTGACTATCTTAATATTCAGAACTCACTAATTTGGAGAAGAGAAGGTGCCTATAACAGTAAAACAGTTTCTATAGAAATGGACTATTCCATTGCCAGGGAAAGCAATAAATTCTTGAAAATTGGCAGGTTTCATGAGATCCAGTCTCTGGCTGACTGTTGCCTTTTTAACACACTGCCCTGTGTGTGGAGATGTGGGTAGCTTATCTATTTAAATTTAATTTTATCCAGTGTTTTGATTTATCATTCTATAAAGTTAGTGGGAGGTGGCTCTTTGTTATACTTAACATTATTTGTATTTGTGGCCTTATTTTCCTAGATGCTGAGCACCCACCGTTCCTAGGGAAGTCATTGGAAGCTGTGGGTATTAAGCTCCTTTGAAAATCAGGCCACTTATCCTTCACGTGTTCAAGAGCCAGATTCTGCTTTTTCATCCCATATAGATTGACTGAAGTCAATGGGCTGCAAGGTCTTTAATTAGGGGTAGAATCTGGCCCTAAGTTTTCTTGCAAAATGATCCAGGAGGTGTTGCAGGGGGATCCCAATTTCTGCTGTAGTTACACCAAGTGTAAATCCAGAGTAGCTCTATTGTATTAAGCAGAATTACACCAGTGTAACTGACAGCAGAATATGGCCCGGTTTAGGATGGAGTAACATATAGTTACGATGTATTACCTTTCATGTGAACATATGAATAATAGCATATTTTTTTAAAACCTGCTTTTCTTATAACTTGTCAGAACTCCATGAAGGTAATGTTCAAATGCCTATGGAAAAACTGTGGAAAGGTACTGAGCACAGCTGCAGGGATTCAGAAACACATCCGGACCATTCATCTTGGGTAAGAGGACAATCGTTCTTTGAAGAGATTTGGTACTGACCCATTTTCAGATTCTTCAGTGCTCACACAAGCAGGGCCAGGTGGAGGCATAGGCATCCTGGACCAGCTTCTGGAGTCAAGTGATTACATCAGAATTTAAGGTGCCATTTAAAAAACAAACTAACAATCCCCTTCACCCCAGAAATGTGGCATGAGTGTAACCAACATAGTGGTTTCAAAAAGGAGTCACTTTACCTACTTCTAAGTCCTAAACTCCTCACTTCCAACGTTTTTGAAAACTCAGTCTGTACACTCAGAGTAAGGGTATGTCTATACTACACACCGAATCGGTGGGCAGCGAATGATCCAGCGGGGGTCGATTTATCACGTCTAGTCTAGACGCAATAAATCAACCCCCGAGCGCTCTCCCGTCGACTCCTGTACTCCACCGCTGCGAGAGGTGCAGGCAGAGTTGACGGGGTAGGCAGCAGTCGACTCACCACAATGAAGACACTGCAGTGAGTAGGTCTAAGTACGTCAACTTCAGCTTCGTTATTCACATAGCTGAAATTGCGTAACTTAGATCGATCCCCCCCCCAGTGTAGACCAGGCCTAAATGAGGTAAATTTGGTGCAGTGACACAGTATATTTCATGTGCAACAAAGGGATTTAATCATTTTAAGTTGAAATCTCAACAGAGCCTTTACTACAGATGAATGACTGATGCCTCCACAATCCATTTTAGGGATTTCTAAGGCACTTCTTCTTCTAGCGTCAAAGTCCCATTCCAAGTTAGAGAAAGTGGCTTTCTTTACTAGTGGAAATACGACTAATGAAACTGGTGACTGCCCACCTTTGCTATCACTTCGACTAGTACGACAAATACACTGTATTTTCCATAGCCATACTTCATGTGAGGATCTCGAAGCACTTTACCGACATTAACTATTTACCGCGAGGCAAGTATCTCAATTTACTGATGGGTAAACTGAGGCACAGAAGTTAAGTGATGGGTCCACGGGCAAAAAAATGAGTCAGTAGCAGGGTCAAGAATGCCACATAGAAGACTGACTTCTAGTCCCCTGCTCTAAATACTACACAAGACTTCTGCCAAGCACTTCCCTGCAAATGAGTAAAATGTTTATATGATACACACATCACTCTTTATAAAAGTAAGCACAGCTGAAGCTTAAATGTTCATATATTTAATTTATTTGCTATGTATCTGGGACTTTAAAAATTAACCTTGAATTGCAACAATCTTGCCTTAGTATAGTAATATGTGTTTTGTCTTTTCTTGAATTAGACGTGTAGGAGAGTCTGACTACAGTGATGGAGAGGAAGATTTTTACTATACAGAGATCAGGCTCAACACAGACTCAGTAGCGGATGGCTTAAGCAGCCTTTCTCCAGTCTCTCCATCTCTAGGATCTCCTCCTCCTTTTCCCACCCAAGATGCAAACCGTCCTGAAACTTCATGTGCCAAAACTGAGACTAAATTGATGACACCTTTGAGCCGCTCAGCTCCTACCAATCTCTACCTCGTACACACAGATCATGCTTACCAGGTAAAGTTAGTGACAGTGAACTAACCTATTTAATAGAATTCAGTGATCACACACCTGCTTGAGTTTAACAACCAAAGCCCCTTTACATCAACTGGCTAATGTTTTTTGTATAAGAGAGACACTGGGAGAGACTGATACGGCCTGGCCCATATTGGATTTTTCTGCACACGTCCTAGTGGCTGCCAAAACATTTCTGATTTGTCTGTTGTGAGGTGGGCAGCTTTGCATACAAGTGGTTGAGCAGGAAAAATAAAAAGAAGGCTATAATATCTACCGCTCTGACTGGTAATTCTTTACAAATGGCAGAAAAACCCAAGCAGATTCCAACTTCTATTAGAGAACTTTCCAACTTAATTCAAACAGCATGTAAAAATGGGCTAGAAATTATTTTGAAAACTCTTGCTTTTAACATGCTTTGATCTCCTGGACACCATATAATTTCTAAGAAAAATACGGTCTTTGAAGTATTGGGGTCCATGGCCTGCTTATGGACATGAGAAATGAATTCTTACCACATGTAATAAATTTAATACTTTTTTTCATATATTGTGTGTGTATTTTACACAAACTAAAAACCTTTGTTATGCATCTGCAAGCACCAAAGCAATATAATATACTCACTTGGATCTAAAAAAAGAAAAGGAGTACTTGTGGCACCTTAGAGACTAACCAATTTATTTGAGCATGAGCTTTCGTGAGCTACAGCTCACTTCATCAGATGTATACCGTGGAAACTGCAGCAGACTTTATATACACACAGAGAATATGAAACAATACCTCCTCCCACCCCACTGTCCTGCTGGTAATAGCTTATCTAAAGTGATCAACAGGTGGGCCATTTCCAGCACAAATCCAGGTTTTCTCACCCTCCACCCCCCCACACAAATTCACTCTCCTGCTGGTGCTAGCCCATCCAAAGTGACAACTCTTTACATAATCAAGTCGGGCTATTTCCTGCATAGATCCAGGTTTTCTCACATCCCCCCCACTCCCATACACACACAAACTCACTCTCCTGCTGGTAATAGCTCATCTAAACTGACCACTCTCCAAGTTTAAATCCAAGTTAAACCAGAACATCTGGGGTGTCACGGCTAACCTGGTGGCTGAACTTTGTGACTTTGTCCTTACCCATAACTATTTCACATTTGGGGACAATGTATACCTTCAGATCAGCAGCACTGCTATGGGTACCCTGTTGATCACTTTAGATAAGCTATTACCAGCAGGACAGTGGGGTGGGAGGAGGTATTGTTTCATATTCTCTGTGTGTATATAAAGTCTGCTGCAGTTTCCACGGTATGCATCTGATGAAGTGAGCTGTAGCTCACGAAAGCTCATGCTCAAATAAATTGGTTAGTCTCTAAGGTGCCACAAGTACTCCTTTTCTTTTTGCGAATACAGACTAACCCGGCTGTTCCTCTGAAACCTGTCACTTGGATCTGATATCTAGTCTTTAGTGAGACCACCTCCAGCTGTACGTTAACTACAAGTAGAGCCCTACAAAAGTCACGGTCCATTTTGGTCAATTTCACAGTCACAGGATTTTTAAAATAATAATTGTCATGATTCCAGCTATTTAAATCTGAAGTTTCACAGTATTGTAATTTTAAGGGTCCTGACCCATAAAGGAGTTGGGGGGGGCAGGTTGCAAGGTTATTGTGGGGGGGTTGCGGCACTGCTACCCTTACTTCTGCACTGCTGCTGGTGGTGGCGCTGCCTTCAGAGCTGGGCGGCTGGAGAGCGGCGGCTGCTGGCCGGCATCCCAGCTCTGAAGGCAGCGCCGCCGCCAGCAGCAGCGCAGAAGTAAGGGTGGCGTGGTACGGTATTGCCACCCGTACTTTTGCGCTGCTGCTCTGCCTTCAGAGCTGGGTGCCCAGCTAACAGCCGCTGCTCTCTAGCCGCCCAGATCTGAAGGCAGCACAGAAGTAAGGGTGGCAATACTGTGACCCGCCCTGCAACTCCCTTTTGGGTCAAGACCCCCAATTTGAGAAACGCTGGTCTCCCCCATGAAAGCTGTATAGTATTGGGTAAAAGCACACAAAAGACCAGATTTCACGGGGGGAGTCCAGATTTCACAGTCTGTGATGAGTTTTTCATGGCCGTGGATTTGGTAGGGTCCTAGGTATAAGATAATTGGAGGTAGGTTTGTCAGTGCTTTGGGTTTTCCTTGGAGGTCTCTCATTCAAGTATTTTGGGAAATAGCAGTGATGACACCATTATCTGAGTGAGCATTGAACCAATGCTCCGGCATGGTGCTAATGGATACACCATCTTCCCTTCAAACAAACTTTTGTTAGCCACTTGATGCTGCTAATCTTGCCAATTGTCTTTGGGTTTCAAACATTCCTGTTTTCGGAAAATTATTGCAGAGATTGTGATAAAGCAATTCTGATATCACTGAGAGTTACCAGATCTCCTTGATAACTTTCAGTCAGGCTTTCATTATGGATATAGCACAGAGACATTACTGACCTCATTGGCTGATGCCCTCCTATCACTAGATAAGATTGTGTGTCGGTGTTGATTCGCGTAGATCCATAGCAGCTAGTCACATACAGACCTTAGTTGCCTAGATATTGTTGTTCAGACAGTCCTGATCCTTTCCCCTTTGAGAAATCCCAGAGATTGGCTTTAGACAGTACTTATGTGTCCTGAGAACTATCTTGTGCAGAAGTCTGCAGTATTCTAGTTTGTCATCTCTCCTGCTGAACGTGACTGTGAGTCTAGTGAGGGAGACACTCAGATACGGTGAGTGGCTGCAAACAAACATGATATTTTAAATTGATATTGGCTGGTTGAAACAACTAAAGAATGCAAGGAAAGCTCACTTTTAAATGGTCTAAATGTAAAACAAGAACCTTGTGATGATAAAGGTTGATTGACAAGAGGCATAGGAAGCCAGTCCTAAAGGCAGCTACTCATTCACCCTGATAAGCAGAGAGGAACAAATTGTGAAATACTGACTTTATACAGTAAGAAAGGAGTTAAGAAGATGTGTTGAAGGAAACCCCAAGTACCTCCGCAGAGCACATCTTTTAGCCAGGTTCCAACAGCCCATAGAGGAGGAGGCAGCTCAACAGAAAGATGCTCATCACAAATGTGATGAGCACATTCTAAAACCTAGATGGAAGGAAAAGGAGTGAGCTGAGGGGACAATTGTGTTTTTCAAAATCTTGATTTAGCTTTATTTTTTTCAATAACTGCCCTTATATGCTGAGAATGATTTCAGCCCACTGTTTTAAACAGGGAAAGCTGTTTTTCCGTATGTTTATCTTATAATTGCAGAATAACTACCTCATGTTGTTGATCATTAACCATTTTGGTATCTGAAATTTCTCTCCTTAGTAGTTTCAACCAGAAAGTAACATTACTTTAAAGTACTATCATTCTAGTTAAAGTTTTTGTTAGAATTGACCAGATGCTGGTTTTTGGAACTTTATATATATGGTAGTTGCCCTGAGGAATTAGATAGTTTGGGGAGGAAATTGTTAAAGAAATCCATTTTGTGAGAAAATCCAGCTTCCTAGAGATACCCAGACATGCTTATTTAATTCTCCAGTTGTAAATAGAATGGCAAAGTAATTTCCTTATTTTTTTTTGTTAGCAGCAAGACTTTGTATTGCACAGTAAAGTGTGACTTCTCCTGCTATGCAACTGTGATATAGTAAAATATGGATTGTCTTTGTAATTACTCCCTGGCGACTTCTACACCAAAAAAATTAAAAATTCTGTGCACAATATTTTAAAATTCTGCATATTTTATTTGTCAAAATAACACAGTATAATCATGCCAGTTTCAAATATGTTAGTAATTTATTTCAAAATACCTGTCAACAAATATGTCTGTCACAATACAGACAACAATAAAAGATTCAGGAAATCTTTTCTGACGATTCCTTAGTAGGCATATTAATACAGAACTTTGAGTAATAATTCATTTAAACTACAATACAGAAACGTATTTGATGCACCCCTCAGAAGCAGTGCAAAAGCTTCGGGGAGTCAGGGGTAATAGAGGAGCTGAGAGAGAAGGAAGTAATTGCTAGAAAGGAGCCTGGGAGTGATTGGGGGGAGTATGGAACATGGGGTTTTTTTGCAGGGGGTTCTGGGGGGAAGGGATTGTTAGGGAGCCTCCCTCTGCAGGCCCTGGCTGACCCTAGTCTCTCCCAAGCACATCTGCCCCTGTCCCCATGTGTCCTTCCTTCCCCCTACCCCCACATGTCCGTGCATCCCCACTTGGCCAACCCCTGTCCCCATGTGGCCCTTCACCCCCCCACTCAGCCCTGTTCCAGTCTGACCCCCCACTAGCCCTTCTGGTCTATGTACTCCCCCCACCCCCAAGCAGCCCTGTGTGTCCTCACTCTGTCTGTCCCTCCAGGCAGGGCGCTGTGAGGAACGCAGCCTCTGCTCTCTCCCTAGCGGCTTCTGACTGCTACATCTGGTGAGCAGTGAACTGGTTGCCTCTGTTCTGGCACAACAGCAGCCCCGGGTGGGTGAAAGGTGTAACTGCAGAGCCTCTCTGGCAGAATGTATTTTCTGTGGAGAAAAAAAAAATTCTGCAGGGCACATGAATTCCCCCCGGAGTATTGTAATGGAAACGTTTTTACACCAATTACATACAAGAGAAAAGTGCCAAAAAAGTATTTAGAAATTTGGTCACATTTTTTTGTGTACTCAGTGGAGCAAGCGAGAATCTTTTGCCTGTTTCTTTGAATATTAATCTGGTCCTGATGAAGTATATTAACGTTTTATTGTAACTTTGCCTTAATGAAAAGTTTCAAAAGAAAAAAAATTATACATGGATTTCTGAGTTCATACCTAGTAGTGTTTGATATAAGACCTGAGCTTTTAGAGGTTTCCTTATAGAAGCCATTTCTCAGGAGACCTATAGCCTTTTTTCTGCCCAGTTAAATAATGATCACATATAAAGACCTTGTTCTTTCTTTGTTGCCCTATTCGTGCTTATCCCCACAGAGAACAAGGGTAGAATGCTTGTCACAGCCATCATTGTGGAATTATTTTGAGCTGCTGAAAACCTGGTTGATTTGCAGTTTCAAAGAGCAAAAGATCTTGTTGCAATGCTTTGGAAGAGGAGCACTTCTTTTTGTTGGAATATTTTCTTTTTAAACAGGCTACTCCTCCAGTGAACATTCCAGGGTCAACAAAGTTCACTCCAAATGGCCGTAGCTTTAGCATCTCTTGGCAGTCCCCTCCAGTTACCTTCACGGGCATTCCGGTAAGTGGAAGATGAACAAAGACTGTACCTAACCAATGAAAAGTTTTAAAACTTACCAGTAATGCTCTTATGATTGAAATTAAATGCGACAGAGATACAGAGAAACAGATAAATTCCCACAGGTCCTGATTCTCCTCTTACGCCAGCGGTTCTCAAACTATAGGTTGGGACCCCAAAGTGGGTTGTGATCCCTTTTTAATGGGGTTTCCAGGGCTGGCATTAGACTTGCTGGGGCCCGGGGCCAAAGTCCGAGGCCCCACCGCCTAGGGCCAAAACCAAAGCCTGAGCCCCACCACCGGGGGCCAAAGCCCAAGGGCATCAGCCCTGGGTGGCAGGGCTCAGGTTACAGGCTTCTGCCTGGGACTGAAGCTCTTGGGCTTTGGCTTTAGTCCTCCCACCTGGGGCTGCAGGACTCCAGCAGGCTCAGGCTTTGGTTCCCCCCTCCTGGGATCATGTAGTAACTTTTGTTGTCAGAAGGGGATCGTGGTACAATGAAGTTTGAGAACCCAAGTGTTATACTACATTGGGAGTAACTGCATGTAAGTCAATTTACAATCTTTAAATAATTAGAGAATTGGGTCTGTAGTATATTTTTAAAACTATCTGATTACAAAAGAATGAACTGGGTAGCTAGAGAATCTGTAAAATCTTCTACATTTGCCACTGCATGTGTCCGTTCTGTATATTCCTAAAGGATTAATTATAAAACCAGAGGAAATCAGCAATTTGATCATTCTCCTAGAAGGCTTATTAGAAAGGTATTTATGTTTTAAAGAATCTAGCAGAGGTGTTGATGTCCAAAAGATACTCTTGGGGGAATTCTGTGTCACTGCACGTGAACAGAATTCATTCCCCTGCAGATTCCTTCGCTTCCCTGCAGAAAAAATGACTTTCTGATGGGGAAGCAAAGGGAAGCTGCAAGAGCAGTCATGGTACAACGTTTCAGGCAGCCAGAGCAGCTCACAGAGAGGTAAATCACTGCAGGGCTGGGGACACCCCAGTCAGTAGCTCCTACCCTGAGCCAGGATCAACTGCTAGTCCTGGCTGGGAGGAGAGGCTGGGGCTGTGTCAGATCCACCCCCAGAAACCTCCCCTAGCTGCAGGAAACTCAGCTTCCTGCCCCTATCACTCCTCAGCTGTGGGCAGGAGGTGTCACTCTACGGGGAGCTGCTCCTCCATCCACCCAAGCCCTGTGCATCTGGACATCCCACACCCAGACACCCCTGCCAAGCCTCACCTGGTACATCCAGAACCCCACCCCACTGAACTTCAATGTATGCACCAACTCCCACCCCTGCACCCAGACCACCCTTCACTGAGCTCCCTGCACTCAAACCCCCACCCAGAGCCCCCAAATCCAGACCCCCACACCACTGATTGCCAACTAGCTGCACCCAGACCACCCCCACTACCAAGCCCCACTCCTCCAGCATACAGACCTGGCTGAGACCCCCACACCCAGACCCCTCCGCTGAGCCCCAACAACCTGGAAGCTCCTGCAGAATCCCATTGCCCCTGTACCTGGAACCGCCTCAACGAGCCTCTGTGCATCCAGATCCCCCCCCACTGAGATGCCTGCACCCATATTGTCTCACACAATATCCTCTCACCCCACACCCGGATCCCCTCACACTGAGCCCCTCCACACTTAGATCCTGTCTGGTTGAGCCTAGCTGCCCGGCTCCTGGTGCAAAGGGGCATGGCCCCAGGGTGTTTCTGGGGCAGGGACAGGCCTTGTGCTGTATCAGTGTCCGGTGCAGCCTCACCACTGAGTCCGTGTCCGGGAGGGTGGGAGGACTGCAGGATGCACCTCCACCTTCGTGCAGCCAGTGGCCTGTGCTACCCACTGCTATGTTGGAGCCTCCACATTTATTTATTGACAAATAAAACTTGTAGAATTTTAAAATATTGTGCATGTAATTTTTAATTTGTTGGCACAGAATGTCCTCAGGAGTAAATAGAGCTCTGCAAATCCTGAACAAATGAAAGAAAAGAATTGTCCTAACAAAACTGATGTATTTTTAAGTCATGATTCTAGCCTCAGATACATGCATGCAACTTCTGTTGATTTCACTAGGGAAAATTTTGCCTTTATATTGAAAACATGCACTTAGTATGTATTGAAATTATTTGTTAATGGTGGAGCATTAGATTTCAAGATCAACTTTGACAAGGATTATAAGATACTCATAGGGACTTGTGATGACAGTAAATGGAAATTTTGCTTGAGTAAGGACTGTTGAATCAGGCCTTTTGCTTAATTATAGAGAAACTTTCCACAATCCCATCCAAATAAAATACAGTAACTCCTCACTTAACGTTGTAGTTATGTTTCTGCAAAATGCAACTTTAAGTGAAACGATGTTAAGCGAATCCAATTTCCCCATAAGAATGAATGTAAATGGGGGGTTAGGTTCCAGGGAAATTTTTCTTGCCGTACAGTACAGTACGATAGTTGGGAGGTGCCCCCTCCTTACACCACACAGGCACAGCCCATTGGCACTGGAGACAGTGAGGCAGGCAAGGAGGCTGAAGGTGCTGTAGGCTAGGAGAAGCATGTTGCGCAGCAGCAGCGGCAGCTTCCCCAACCCTGCAAGCACCTGGGGTGGGGGGCTCAACCCTCGGGCTGCCCACTCCACTCTTGCCCCCAGCCCTTCTCTCCGCACGCCACGTCCTCACTCCCTCCCCTGCCTGTGGCAATCAGCTGGCTTGCGATGTTCAGGGGGCAGGAGGGTGAGGGGAGAAGCGAGGACTCAGCGTGCAGCCTCCCCCTTCCTCCTGCCTGCAGCAATCAGCTGGTTGGCAGCGTTCGGGAGGGAGGGGGAGCCTGTGCGCCGAGTCCTCGCTCCTCTGCTCTCCCTCCTGAATGCCGCAAGTTAGCTGATTGCTGCGGACAGGAGGCGGGGGGAGGAGGGGGAAGGCGCTGATCCGCGGGGTCTGCCAGCGGGCTGGGAGGACTGATAGGAGGACTGACAGCTGTGGACAAAGCAAAGCAGGCAGACAAACGACATTATAGCGAAGCATTGCACAACTTTAAATGGAGCATGTTCTGTAATTGAGCAGGGATGTAAGATCGAAACAATGTTAAGCGAGAGGACATTAAGTGGGGAGTTACTGTAAAATCAAATAAGGGTCTAGAGAGGCAACTAGATAATAGATACCTAATTCAATGTGTATCAAAAATTTAAATTAAAATCATTAATTTTAAGATGCAGAAAATCTATTAGTGAATAAATAGAGTACAGCATATTCTCATTTTAATGTTTTTTTATTAAAAAATGTTAAGCAGGCTTCTGAGCAGCTGGCAGTCATTTGAAATGAAATGCTTTGATATCCAACATAAAAATTACACAATCAGAATTTTCATAGTTTATCACATAATGCACACGAGTCATCCAGAGAGCCACATAGGGTTTTTTCCCCCCAACAATGTATATTAGACACAGTGATAACAGATAAGGCCTCCCTGTCCTCTCTTCACCAAGTGAATCAGAAAAGCCTCTTACTCTCAACCTTTGGTAAGTCTTGGAGATTTTCTTCAGAGGCTGTGGGCTCTTGTGGAACGGATAAAAATGAAAGTGGTTGAATCAATTACACTGCACTCTGCCAATGAATATTTATTAAATTCCATCAAGGAACAACTAAACAGTGAAAGCCATCATGCTGGCAGCAATTTGAACAAGAGTGCCTCGACAGAGCATGCCATGCGTAAAGTACTCTCGGAATTTGATTGCACAACAATACAGTTGATAGAGTAATTATTAAACTAGCTCCTTTTGTGGAGTAGCAGAAATTGGCGCCAGTAGCATTGGGAATCCAAGAATGCAATTAGTGACATTGTAAATCAGACACTAAAAGGGAAGGGATTAGACATGTAGGTATTTAGTTGACTTCAAGCAATAACATTGATCCTGCAGCTATAGAGAGTGAGTGTTCCTAACAGAATTTAAGAAACAAATAATAATTTTCTGGGGAAATTATAAGATGCTAGTGATTTACAATATAATTTAAAACAATCTCCTGTGAAGACCTAGAGTAACAGTGTTGATAGCACAATTATAGGCCATTCGGGGGCCCATGTCAGCTATTTTTATCCGTCTTTCTCCTGACAATCTTGCAAATGCTGCTCAGTGCAAAAATAAGTAAACCACCAAGTCAACCACACAACACCACTACATGGACACATTTCTCTGTTTTATAATTCTTAATAGGCATTAAAACATATGGTTAGGTGAAGTGGACACTAATATTTTAAAGATGCATGTGGAGGCTGTTTTCTTCATCTTTTTCTATCTGAGAGAGACAACAGGTATTGTGAAAAATAGCCCATCATTCTTTGTCTTATTGTTAATAATTCCTAGCGTTTAGCAGATAGTGCAGTTCACATCCTCAAAGGACTTTGCACACATTGCTGCAGCCAGGCCCAAACTGATGAATACTAGAGAGTTCAGCCCAGATCCTCAAAGCACCTGTCAGGCTCTTTAGGCTCCTAAGTCCACCATTTAGGCACCACTGACATTCTCAAAGCTGCTGCTGAGGTGACCACGGGTCAGCATATGCAAAGTCAACTGAACCCTGATGCTGTCCCATAGTTAGTGTGCAGCTCTGATCCTACCTCATGCTGAAGCTCCAGAGATAGGATGCTCAGATTAGTCAGGGGGATGCCTGTCTCACCATTCCTGTAGACAAGCTCTGAGCACACCAAGACCTGATGTCTGTCAGATCCTGCTGGAGGCAAGCCAGCGATTGGTGGTGGGGTAGAACAGTGCCCACACATTGGAGCACAGGGAAATGTAGGATGAACATGAAAGGGGTATTGCATATGAGAGAGAGAGATAGTTTCGGTTGCTAGGACATGGGTTGCTTAAGTGTCTGAGGAATACCCCTACCTACATCTGGCTCGGCAGCCAGGCACACCAGGTCAACCACTTCAGTGCCTAAGCCTCTCTCTTCAGCAATTCACTTCGGGCTACCTTAGGCATCTCTGTGGCTTTCTAGGT